CGAGTTCCAGCTCCTCCTCTGCCCGAACGTCACAACGGGAAATAGTTCCAAAGCTGATGATGCAAATTTTGGTCCCAATCGAGGGCAAAAAAGAAACTACTTCCATCACCGGCAAATTAGAACCGGGCATAATTTCAGTGGAAAAAAAACCAATAAATACCTTAATACGAATAATGTGCTGCGCATGATGAATCTGATACGGTGTCCCCTTGATTATGAACACTTTTTCCGATGCATTCGGTGGCGGATCGCGCGATAACTCAACATGTGCACCACTTTCGGCGCAAATCTACAAATTGTCATGGTAAAATTTAAAGACAATCAAGAAAAACCAAGAATCAAGAACCCAGTTAGAACCACCCAATACCGGTTCAGTCCTTACTTCCCCTAATTCCATCCACCCAAACGGCTTGTGGGATCTTTCACTCACAACAGTTTTACTCTTTATGGAATTGCTATGAAAAAAATATAGTGCGCTGAAACTGGGCTAAAAAATCCCTACACAGAGCACCAAAAAAACCCCCACATAAACTTTTTCTCCTGCGAAATGAACGGAAAAAACCCCTGGAACACATTCCAAATTTTGTTTCGCAAAAAACCGGGGAACAGCCTGGTGCGAAGACTGATTCATGGTAATGAGACGAAGAGGAATTAGGCACACCTGTTTGATAGTTTCGCCTCCTTTTCCAATTACCAATCCAGTTTTGTTCGATGGCACATGCATGTAGAACATCTCTGCGCCTCCGGCTGCTCCGCTCTTCTTGACAAGATCCGAAATGAATTGCGTGGCTTTGGCAATCTGCTCAGTGGTGCCTTGAATAACCGCACATCGCTCCGGCGTCGACTGATCCTCTGTAATGCGCACAAACGCAAATCTTTATCAATCCCAAAAATATCAATTCCACTGGCAAATCTACATATTACTTCTCATCTAATAAGAAACACTTTTTATTTTCACTAACACACTTTCTACTTTTACTAATATGCTTAACACAGCTAATTTAAATCCAATCTGTACCAATTACAGCTGTCACAATCGTCGTACCGGCGGGAACCAGTTGTGGTAACGGTAAGAAATGTATACGACTTAATGGACCGAACCATTTCTTATCATTATAAAAATTTTATTAAAATAACTTTACCACTTTTACTAATTTCTTAATTCTTATTTCGGAATTTTCTCTTCTACTTTCCTTCCTCTTTCAATAAACCTTCCCATTATCCTACAGTATGACCCAATGGGCTAAAGTGCCCACCCAAACGTAGCCCCATCTAAACGTGCTTCGTTCTATTAGGATGGAAACACCTGCAGACTCGCTCCGGCATATCCGGTTCCTTAATTTTCATCTCTTCTACATCTCGGCTGCTTTTCAGGTCTTCCCGAACAAAATTTCAAATCGTTCCGTCGACGTAATACTTACTTTTTGCACTCCTCCCTACCCAAACCACTTCGAGATTTCAGGATGACGTGCAACTGTCGAAATCTTTTTTAACACTGTTGGGAACAAGTGATCTTGCTCTCCCCTTTCGAGAACGTTCCAGCGCACAACCCGAATCTGGAGCGTAGATCGACTGGAGAAGTTCAGGGCAGTGTGTTAGCAATCGACAAGACTGTGCGGCCGACAAGAAAGATCAACATCTCCCCCAGCAGCAGCTTCGACAGCGTCTCCAGGAACATGGAGTCTGAAGGCCTTACGGACCGTGATACCCTGGTCAGCACCAACCGAAGAATCATAGAATGGGAGCTCCGTAATTACAGCGTTAATGTTTTCTGTTGGACTAATAAAAATCGAACTGGACGCATGTAGCAATGGACGCAACAAACATAAATCCCAAAAATTCTGTAATGCCAATCAAACTGGTCATAAAGGGGGACGATGTAAAACAAACCATCCGGCTTGAACTGGATTTTGGCGCCCGATTCGGCCGCCAGACGTTTGATCGTTTCTCCGCCTTTTCCAATAATCATGCCAACCGAAGCACGAGGAACAATGACCTTAAAAAAAACAACAACAAGATCATTCGGTGGCGCCTTGGGTAAAATTTTAAATTCATTTTATGCAAAAAAACCGTAGCATAGGATGAATGAAGGAGAGTGTTAGACTCACTTCACCAATTGAGCGCTGTCCTCCGCCACCACCCATACCAAACGAGCCAGGAAAGCCGTACTGTCCCGGGGGATGGTCTTCACGAGACTGCAAAATTTCCTCAACCATTCGTCGTGCATTCTCAACTTTTTCCGGATCACCAAGAATGCGCAAAGGTTTTGGCTGGCCACCGCTTTCTTGATTCTGCTGTATCATCACCATTTTGACACCAGTTTGCTCCTAAAATATTCGCATCAAACTGGAAAAAGACTCCCACCGCAAATGCTCTAGAAAACAGCTGAACAACTCCCCATTGAAACGATTTTTGTGTCTGGGT